GAAATGCCTGATGATTATGTGCAAATGATGCAGAGGTGTTGGGATGTGGATCCATCAAAAAGACCAACTAGTAGAGAACTTTATGATTTAGCTGATGAAATATCAAAAGAAATTTATGATAATAATAATGATAATAATAGTGTTGGAAGTAGTATCAATAGTAGTAATAATAATAGTAATAATAGTTTGTTAAAAAGATTTAATGATAGCAGCAGCAGTGGTGGTGGTAGTAATTCGCAACAAGTACACAAATCACATCCAAATGCATATCATACGAGTAGAATATTAGATGAAGAGATTGCTAAATCTAAAATCTTAAGTAATGATAGTTCATTAAATAGTCTTGGTTTTAACTCTCTTCTCTTAAATGCTGAAGGTGAATAAAAATTTCATTATTAATTAATCAGAAATTATTATTAATTAGATTCTAGTAATAGTAGTAAAAGGAAGAATTGATGAACAATTAATATAAATTTATCTATTATAGTTATATATCTTTTTATTTTATCCTTATTTCGTTTTTAAAGCTAAATTATTTTGAAATAATAAATTTTTTACTGATAAATAAAGTTGCCATTTTACATAACTAAAGGGCTTCTATAAAGTTCCTTTTACTCACTTGTGATCGATTTATTTCAATCGTTTACATTTATTTATTGGCTGATTGCAAACTCGCTTTTGTTTATTTGCGAAACAATTTAAGTAGCTTGTCTAACGATCACGACAATACTACAGTATTTCCAATTAACCTTTTGACGATACGATACTTCACTATTTTAGCAACGTTAGTCCTAATTTTGCTTGCTTGCTCACTAAAGCAAATAAAATGCGGCCTTTTATCAAAGTTCCATAATTGTTACCTTTTACCAAGACACTAACTACACTTGTTGCTTTTATCAAGCACTTCAAACAAAGAAAATAGAAACAACGTTTTTATTTTTATTTTTATTTTTATTTATTAGAATGTTAATCACCTATTATGTTCCTCTGTGAAGATCAGAAGTTATTTCCTCCCTAATTAATATTATTATTGCAAAGTAACTTCCATAATTATTTTATTTACAAGTAATTATAAAAAGTTTTTGCGTAAAATTTTCGTTTGATAATAATCTTCCAAGTATGATTTTATCGAACCCGATCATATTAATATTAATGTAGTAAATGAGTGTGTGTATGGGAACTGGATTTGTATTCAGTAAAAGAAAAATTTAGCACAACCGATGAATATAGAAATAAAAAATTGAAGAGAATGTATATTTATATGTGAGCTTTTTTATATTTTATTAGCAATTTTACTTATCAAGGTTTTACTTATGTAATTTTTGAGTTAACGACTGTGAATTTGACGTAATAATTTTACAACAAGATGTCATATTAAAGTATGTGAATTTTTACCATTATTTTCAGAATAAAATTACAATCATATGATTTCAGATAATAGATATGACATTTTTCTACGAAGGGATTTTTAATTATTCGCAAATTAAAAAAAATTTAAGCTATTTTGTAAACCTTTGGTTCCGGGAACTAATTTGCCAATTGGCGGACTAAAACCCAAAGTTTCTGCGGCAATGGAAAAAGGAATTAATCGTCTAATGCTTTCTAAATATCAATCTTCACCTAATCTTTTATCCGAATAGCAGAGGGGAGTGAGATGAACGGGAAGCTGAGCGGAGACAATAACAAAATCTATTACGAGGAAAAATGAAGAGAGTTGGTTGAAGATTATCAACAAGTAGTTTCGCCCGAAGTAAAAGCCAAAACGCTGGTTTATTTTGCCGAACATCCGGAAAGCTTTATTTATTCCAGTTATTTGATATTTGCTTTTTATCATACAGGGCTTCAACACTGCAACGTATAATATTTGAACTCCATCACTACTGGTTCAAACGATCGTACTGGTATATTACAAAGAACCCACAGACATAATAAGGTAACCAGCCTCTTAATGAGAAGATCCCTTTTCAAGCATGATTCTCGAGCCTAGAATGCCTTCATCGGTAAATATTTTCACTGTCCCTTTCGCAATCGTTTTGAGCATTTACGTCTGGGTTCTTTACCCAAAACCCCCTGTATTCCACTTAACAGGCCTATAATTGTAATATATATTTAAGTTCTTTGCTTATCCCTTAAACTAACTAATAAATTCCGTATTTTTTATTGGACACGAGATTCAAATTTAAATGTAGCACAAAAAATCGATCTTTTCGCTTCTGCACGTTTGTGCACGTGTGTGAAGCACAAATGTTATGCTTCGAGAACGCGTGTACCTTTTTTCTGTTTTATCATAAAATCAATCATGGCCGTTTGTAAAGGAAAAAATTTTGAGCCCGACATTAAAAAAGCAATTGGGCCACCATAAAATAAGTCTTGTAAGGACCGAATGAGTATTTTTTGTTGAGTTATTATGTACCTGAAGTTACTCTGCTACTAGGGTTTAAAAGAAATGAAATTGAAAGCACTCCGTGGCCATAACTTGTGACAGTTACCAGTTAGGTAACCAGACCTAATGTATGGTGGACGACCTGATTATGAACATTCTTTCTTTCATCCGAAAAGCCGCTGGCTGGAGTGTCAGGGATAGGATATATGAAAAAATTTAAAAGCACATAATGGTCGTAACTTGTTGGACAACTTGTTATGAACGTTTATTTTGCTTCTTGATAATGATGAAACAAAACTTATTTTTTTTATATTTTATTATTTTCTAGACATTCCGGGGATGGAGGAATTGACTTAATAGGAGCGTTTGTTTATGAGGGTGAAAGATATGTCCTAGTTGTCCAATGCAAAGTAATCATGTTATTTAATATGAATATATATATTATTAAATATATTATTAACTATATTATTAATGGTTTTTTTTAATTTATAGCACAGCAAGACCTTCCCTCAAGCTGTTCGTGAATTAAAAGGTGTAATGGCTACATACCTCAGTTGGTATATTAGTCGTTAATTCCGAACACCAAATAGGTAAACAAATGAGCACAGAAGCTAAGTTGGCATCATCTAATATCATCATATCAGATGAAAATAGCATATATGATGATGACCTAATTTGCTTCATTGAAGATCTACAACATAAAAAAGTTCTCAGACATTTAAAAGAAAGAAAGGCTTTGAGGGAAAAGTTGAAAGGAGAGGTGAAAGAAGAGATAGAGAATGAAGTGAAAACAAAGTTGGTGAAGGAGTTGAATGTTAATTTAAATCAAAACAATATTTATTTTTTAATTATTATCATTTTATTATTTTTAATATTTTTATTATTATTATATATAAATAAATTTTAATATGTTTTATATTTTTTTTATAAAATTAATTGAACAGACAGATGTTGGATAATTTAATTTATTATATTTCTAGTGTATGAAAATCTGTAAAACAATTTCTATTATCCTTGAAATATAGTGGAACTTTACATAAACTGCAGTAAACTACAGATTTTAATTCATTACCTGAAAATTTTCCCTTCTTTTTGTCTTTTGTATCTGCACCACACACAAGTTTTTCTCTTACCCATTCCAGGAAAATGCCTACCAAGCCTTAATCTTTCTGTAGGTAAAGCAAGGTTACTTGTTGTTATGTAAATTGCTCTATCATTTCTTGAATTACTTCTTGAATTACTTCTTGAATTGCTTCTTGAAATACTTCTTGAAATACTTCTTGAAGTACTTCTTGAATTGCTTCTTGAAGTACTTCTTGAATTGCTTCTTGAAGTACTTCTTGAACTTCTAATATTAATATCATTTTTTTCATCCAAACCAGAATTAATTAAATCCCAAGCCAAGTTTATTATTCTAAAATCTTTGTGATCCAAATCTCCATTGCAATTTTTATGGATTAAGTAACAATTAACAATTACAGTATCTAGTAACCAAAAGAACATTGGTATCCAAGTTCTTGCTGTCAATTGAGTAGCATAATAACCATGTAATTGATCAGCCATGTCTACACCACCCATATGAGCATTGTAATCATCTATTACTTTTGGAATTGGAAGAGATTTTTTAACTGCATTTCCAAATACTTGTCTGACTTTTGCTGCATTTGTACTTGTGATCCTTGGACAACAATGCATTTTTTCTACTCTATTTTCTGCACCAGTAATTTCATAGATTGTAGTCAACATTGTTACTGGTCCATTGTCCATGGCTGCACTAAAGACATATGAATTGTTTCTTGAACAAGAAATGTCAAAGGATTCTGCGCAGGGTTCAGTTCAAGAGTTTCCAGGACTTTACAATTATCCATTTTTCTTAAAGAACTAAATTACACAAACCTATTAAAGTTGGAAGGGATGCATCGAAGGATTCCAGAAATACTTCAAATGCTAACAAATGTTGGTGTTTGTCTAACACTTTCATTATGAATAATAGTGTTATGAATTACGAAATATGGACAACAGTATCATGCTATGCCCCAATATTCAATTCTCAAAATACATATGCCTTTTCCAAAAAATAATCTCATGAAGACATTAACAAACAAATTGCACCAGACTGGTATGTTTGTACTTCTAAACGATGCTCATATGCACTGAGTGAGAAATTTTCTTTATATTGTTGATATTAGTCTACATTTGCATATTGCATCTAACATTTTTAATGCATAATCACTCACGGCAAATATTTTAAATGATTTCCTCCAGTTGCATCTCGATATCAATCTTTATGACAACTCTAATGAGCGTGTTGAAGAAACTCTTGATTGTCTTGAGAAACTCATCTCCACCCAGCAATGTTTTTTGAATCTTCGGTTGGTGTTTAAAAATGACCTGGGAAAGGCTGATTGAAATATTTCAATCCTGGCCTGAATTCTTCAAACGTCTTGAACTTGTAAAATGGAACTTCGACGGATGTGATTGGAGATGGCAGAAAAAATGTTCAAATTTGTGCGAATTTGCAATTACAAGCCCTCCTCAAATTCTAATCCCTGACATTTTGGGCACTGGGTATGAACCTATAACTCAAGGCCAC